GAATAGCAGAACATAAAAGGGCTTTCAAGAATAGAAAAACAGATTCGACATACGCACTTCACCTTCTAGATCATAATCATTCTTTTAATGACAAATTTAAAATTCTTCACATTCAAAATAAAGGCCTTAAGCTATCTTTGTTAGAATCTATGGAAATCAACAAATTAAAAAACACAGATATAATTCTGAATGACCAACTTGAGACAAACAGTTCTCCCCTCCTCAACCTATTTCAATAGAGACTATAAATTTGTAAACCCAAGCCAAAATAGATCACTTGAGAAAGGCAATCAGCCGAAACAGCTGTAGTGATAATATTTAAAATAAATTTTGTGGAAGTTTGAAAACAAAGTTTTCAGTGTTTTATTGTTACATAAGAATAATAGACAACGTCAATATATTGGTCTAACAAAAATAAGACAAAGTGTGTAAAATTTGAGTAAAATATAGTATGGTAATCCTATAAAGAGGAGTTATTTTTCTGTCAGTCATATCTTGGAGGTTATTTCATTTCGGTTATGAATAATTCAGATTGATTCGCCCTTGCGTGGAGGCGGCAGCAAGGAAAAGGGATAAGTTTATCTTATAAAAATAATCGGTTCGTTAGAGTTCGTTTAAGATTCAAAATGCGGCTGTGAGGTGTTTGAGAGCCGCCCGCATAACCGACTCACTCCTTAGATTCGTTGCTCTCGTTTCTCTGAACAAAAAGAAGGATTTACACCCTCGGGAACGTGCTGGATAATGCTTAAACTTGGGAAACAAAGAAACCCGTTGCTTACCTACCTATTGGAATCATATCACGGTATATACACTGAAAATAAAATTACATTTTATAACGTGGCCAACAGATAGACTATGTGTATAAGTGAAATTGAGTGATGCATTTTCCATCATATATAACAAGAATTGTATTATATACATCGCACCTCCGCTAAAAAAAGAGTCACAACTCAAAAAACGTTGTTTTGAGTTATATTATTTAATTGATGTTAAAGATTTTAGTTCAGTTGAACATCTATTTTTCAGTTCCATGACTAAATGCAAACTGATATGTTATTTGATTGTTAACTGTAATATACATTAGCTCAGTGTGGTTGGTGCATTATTTTTCTCAGGAACTTTCATTTTTGCAATTCCTAGTAACAAAATAGAAATATGCTGAAATCGTGACACTTTTTTAGAACAAGATATAATCACGATGTTAAAGTATAATAAAAAAAAACACAAAGAAAAACAGAAAAAAATTTTTAAACTAAACAGTCTGTGTAGGTTTCCTATACAGACTGATCACATAATTCCATTCTCATCCAACCACCCCATGTCGCATAAATACGCAGCTTTTCATAGTTACATCCATCGCCTAGTAACCATTCCACTCTCAGACTTAAATTACAAAAAAGAACTAAACATATATATTATATATATATATATATATATATATATATATATATATATATATATATATATATATATATATATATATATATCCGGTTTTTTAGGCGTTACGCCTGTCCGGTAGGGATCTATGGAGGAGTATCACCAAGCCGCAAGCCCTTATCTCTTGCCGTACTGCTCCACCATAGGCCGATCAGATCCCAGCATATCTTAGTCTAAGCCGCAGATTCATCTAGAACTAAACATAGTTAAGCAAATAGCAGTCAACAATGGATATGACCATAACATTATCAATAAACTTATCCGCAAAAAACGCCTTAAGACCCTGCAGGAGACTGCTTTCCCCAGAGACCTCGTTACCAAGCCCAATTATATTTCACTCCCATATTATCACGAAAGTCTTTCTGGAGATATTCGAAATCTCATCCAACGTTCAGTTGAAAACATCCATGTTTCATTTAAAGTACCCTACAATTTGGGTCAACACATTTCTAATTCCAAAGATCCCATCAATTATATGGATCGGAGTGGAGTATATAGATTAAAATGTTCAGATTGCAATGCTTCCTAGATAGGTAGGACATGCAGATCATTATCGTCACGTTCTCTAGAACACATAAAAAGAGAAAATACTTCCACCTTCTCCCAACATCTTAAAGAACACAATCATACCCTCAATATCCCAGAAGACGTTTCACTTATCCACAACATCCCCCAAAAAAACTTTCTTAAATTAGATTTATATGAAGATCTTGAAATTTTAAAAGAAAAACAAAAAAGCCCAAATTGTGTCAATTGTCATGTATCCTTCAATCGAGACTTCCTTCCTCTTCATCGCCAACTATTCTCATAATCTTTCACCACTAATTTACCTCTCAACTAAAATCCACATTTATCATCAAACTTCAGTCCATTCCAAAACTTTTACTTCAACATAACATACTCTCCATCTCTCCCCTATTCTCTTCATTAAACCAAACTTCAAGTCTAACCCTCTATATCTATTACTGCCCATGCTTCTTGTTAGCCCCCCAAAAATCCTAAACTATTCAGCAACCCTTTCTAACAAACATTTCAGTCCTCTTTTTACATTTTTTCACAATTCCCTTAGGGTTTGATAGCGGACCTCTGGTGATCTCAGCTTTCTGTAGTGGTTCAGTATCATACCATTCATTCAAAACAACCATAAATTTCTTTCTTACTCAATTTGAACATAGCCATCTATTATCTTTCAATTTCAAGTTAAGTCCAGTACACAACGCAGACACATTCAACTTATAACTTATTCATCAAAATTTTTCATGTACCCAGTGTTGTCTTATGACAGATAGGGCTTTTTTAAGTTATAATTTAAGTTCTATTTAATAAACATAATACATAACCATATCCCAACCATCAAATTTTGTTTATTTCACACAATAGTTAAACGAACACCTTAAGATCCTCATATCCATTATGAATAATATCAAATTACATAACTTATTCATCTGCAAAGATGACACTACAAAAACTTTTTCGTTTCACTTAATATCAACAAAGCCAACCATACCATCATCACAATTTAAGACAACTTATACCTACAACAAACCTAACTTATAACTTATCCTTTTTATTTCTCTTGTGCCTAGTGTTGCCTTATGACAGATATGACCTTTCTTAAGTTATAAGTAGATTATCACACTTTCAACATACTACATAATTATGTCCCAACCATCAAAAAATCTTTCGTTCATTACATATAATAGCTAATACAATAAAACTTCCACACCTTTTAGTCTGTTACTACCTTGTCAGACATTTATGTTCAGGAACTTATAACTCAAAAATTTTCACATTTGCCAGGTACCAAATGTTGCTTCTGACATACAGGGCCTCTATATTTGAGTTAAAAGTTAAATAACATGTGAACATTTACTAAAACAGTTTTATTTTATTCATACAAGAACACTTCCAATTATAAATAAATACATTTAGATCCAACCATTAACATCAATATTTTCTAAAATTCAACCTTCCACATGTGTCTAGTTTATATTTTCTGGGTACCAAATGTTTAAGAAACATAAAGGGCCATATAATAAAAATTTTCTATATTACATTGCTACATACATGTATAGTTGGTTGCCTAACTACAACCATACAATTTTTGCTCCCTTATATCATCTTATTTTCATAAATTAAAAACTACAACTTTGATGGTTGATACTGTTATATTAGTTCACTTAATTTTCACAATTTTAAATAACGTTGGCTTTTGTCTTAAGTAGAAACATACAGCTACATTGACTGCTCTGTGATAATTTCTGTCATAACTTAACAATATTGTCATCAAATGTCATTGCCAATCAGTTGCACTCATACAGTCCTCGAAGACATACCGTCTCAGGACTAGCAACTTCAACGTGGAGTCATATGTCGCCATGTTACCTAATCCATCGGTAACTCTATAATCTTAAATCATTATAACACAATTTTAAAACTAAATGTAATTAAACATCTGTTATCGGGTTTTTACCCACATATTTAATCTTAGTGGCTACATTCATGTACTCCTAGTAAGTATTAACCACATTTTTCATTAACCTTAGTCAATATTTTAACCTATGTTTTTTTAATTAAGTGGTTTACTATTTTCTAGGACACTGATGATGGAACATGGTTTCCGAAAACGTTTTGTCTTTTTAACTTAGCCCGTTTGGGCCTAAAATATATACATTACAAAGGATTTTTAATTAAATTTTTAAAAAAATTTTTAATACATGCTATACAGCCAACTACAGGAACGTAGATTCCTTGTGGAAAAAAAATTTTGTATTTATTATTACAAAAGAGTTATAGAATGTTGAATACCAACTGAGAAAGTGATTATTCTTTAGTAAACCCAAGAGATTTTTTTTCTCATTCTCTTTTATGCTAAGTACACTTTTGTATTCTCGTTGTGAGGTTCTTGGAATCTTAGATTAAAGAACAGATTAATTAACCAGTTTCTTTAATCTAAGCTTGAAATGGTATTGTTTTTTCTTCGGTAGTGATCTTGAACTTAAACTCTTCATCTTTATAGAAAGTTTTATGATAGAGGGTGGGAGAATTTTCTTCATTTAACATAAAAACCTTTATTTCAGTAATCTTGAAATATTTGAAGCCTATATCGTTGTACAATTTTTAGGGCAAATAAAAATCCAAATAACCAAATTTATTTACATAGTAGGGTACTTTCTTCTTTGCCAAATGAATGATTTGTGTATACTGACTTGACACATAGAAAAGAATAGATTTTAAACTTTTTTTATAGCCTTCTCAATAGTTAAATGTACAGAATGGCTTTCATTCTGACTATGTCCACTTATTAAATATTTATGGGTTATTGAACATATTTAGGGTATTTTTTCTTGGTTCTTTTCTTTTATTGATAAATCTTTTTCTTCCAAATGTAATACATACTTGGATTACAATATTTCCTTAGCTTTTTCTATGTCATTTTTTGGGTCACACGGCGATTTTCTTTGGGTATAAAGAAACTAATAATAATCTCTGTGTTAAAAATTTTTGAAAACATCACTAAATTTGCGTGAGGTAGATTGTTCTCCTGACAATTTTGTTTGTAGTCATATATCAGTTAATATATCAGTCACATTTTTTTCACCTTTGATGTCTTCCCTATTGGTTTTCTTAAGAAGATTTTGGCTCTCAATACGAGGAATAGATCGAATGTGCTCACGAACTCCGTTTTTTATCGATTGATCCACTTTTTTATGGTTCTTGTGTTTATCTCTTAAGTCTACTTCCAGGAACACTTTTTCAGGTTTGTCAAGGACTGTCGTTTTAATTCGATTATTGATATCTAGCGTAACCACAAAAAAGTATTTGCATAAGCAAACTTGCTCATTGTTACTTATATGAAAAAAGTATGCAATATTATGTTGTCTAGGCCTCTCTGCACTGCTGTATCTGTACGCTGGTTTGACTGGTTTCATGCATTTGTAAATAAAATCTCTCCATTTATTTATATTTTCCATAGCCTAATATTTTTTTTAAAATATCTTTTCTGGTATTTATATCCATTTTATTAAAGAATTTCAGAAGGCATTTATCTCCACAAGCAAGTCTAATACTCCTGGCAATAGGTTTTCGTGATTTAGTTGTAACTTTCTTACTAAACTAGTTTTCGGCCACTGCTACTTGTTTTCCCCCTTTTTGGGTTGAAAATTTTTGTGTCTGCTGGCTGAGTGTTTGCTTCATGTTCCTGATGATTGTAAGTTTGCTGCTAGAGAGTCTGCGACTTTAACGTCTGGTACTTGAATTCTTGCTGCTAGAGTATTTATTGCTTGAGAGTCCGCAAGTGGACTGTTTGCTACCTGGATTACATTATTTGAATTCGACAAGAAATCATTTCAATCTGGTTTATCACTACTTCTTGAGCGAGAACTATCACTTGATGTAGAAGAGGAAGACGAACTAGAGCTACTAGAGTCTGATTAATAGTTTGGATCTTTTATAAAATTATCATCATTATTGCTTAAGAAATCCGAGATATAGAAGTCGTTTGTCAGTTCTGATAAAAGGTCAACTGTTACTAATAATGTACCAGGCTTATTATTATCGTTGGCTGTAGCTATAACATAGTTTGCATTATTATAAGTAAACATTACAGCATTTTCCTCTTCAAAAAGATGTGTTTCTGAGATTTCTGAAAAAGAAAAAATATTATTGTGGCTAAAATAAAAACTTTATTATTTACGCGAGCAATTTTTTTTATTATTTAATATCAGATTAATCGAGTTTCGCACTTAATTTGGTATATAACGTTTAATTTTATTTTCTTTACAAGGGACGTAATTCTCCATATCCTTGAACTCGATGAACTTTTCATGTTATGAAATGAGCCTGTTTGCTGCAACAAAGATAATAATAAATAAAAACTAGAAAGGATAACACACAGTTATAAACAAGAAAATACCAGTCAATAATTCTAAAAAAGGGCCATAATTAAAAAAAACCGTCAGTGGATTTGAAAATCGTATGTGACGGTTCTGCGAAACAGTCATATTCCAAAAACAGTTTAAAAAAATATACTTACAATTAAAAAAAAAACCGGGCCCAACTCAAAATGTAACACTACTTTGCATCATGTAAAAGTTCTTTCCCCGTTCTTAACTTGGAAAAGCTATCATAACACAAAAAATAAAGGCATTTCAATAATCAGATATAACTAATAATTCACGCGAAACGGTCACAATTCACAATAGGCCATTAATATTAATTAAAGTAATTAAAGTAGCCATTAAAATGGCATTTATCAAGATCAATTTAATGACGTTTACATCTGTGTTATTGTTTTGTTGTTAAAAGGAGTAGCCGATATTACTCTACCCAGAAAATACATTTATTTCATTAAGGGTAATATAACGTACCCTTATTTTACTTCTCTCTTAACGTCTTTGCTCAGTTGATTGTATATTATAGTATATTTTTACTGTTGTTCCATATTAGAATTTGCTAATTATTGATTATTCTTAGATGTCTTTCCTTGATACTAGCGCTTCTTGAATTCGTTGTGATAGTCAACAAAACATTTGCATATGTCACATTTGACATCTCGGTAGCAATGGAACAGAGCTCGTGAAGCAAATAGTGCTTCCTTCTACCTAAATCATCATCCAAAACTACCCTGTGTATATGTCAAGTATGTTTCGAATTTTTCTATATATTTTTGTGTAGATAATTTTCAGGAAGATGTTTTTTTTTAATTAAACTAATTTATTCTTTAAACTTTTTGCATTGGATTTTTTTGACAGAACATCAAAGAGAAGTTATTTTGCTCTCTGATGTTAAACAGCAGATTTTGTAAAGAAATAGACATCAGTTATTGATAAAATTTTACAAAGTATTTATTAAGTTACAAACTACCATTATAGGTGATCTTGTTATTTATTTAATAAACGTAAAAGAGAAGATTTACAAGATTCTTATTGAAATATTGTACGCAGGATATACAGCAAATATATTGAATATAAAATATGTACAATTAAGCTTTTATCACTGTTTAATTACTGTAAGTGATAGACAAATAAGCAAACAGGAAACGATCACAAAAGTAAAAAAAATGAAAGAAAACTGTGCATTGATAGGTATTAACCCTTCAAAGAGTTGATTGAAGTGGGTGCAATCCGCATTGCAACTGCGGACTGTAATTTCTTGTTATAGGTTGGGCCAATATGTAAGATGTTAAGAACTGAAGTTATTAGACAAAAAACGTAGTTATTTTTGGAAATAGGTTTCGTTTTGTATTTCTTTTTATATATTTTGCGTTTTAAAATCAATAAAAATATAATTTTATGGCTCTAAAACCAAATAAATTAGAAGTATAATTATTGGAATAGGATTTTTAGTCGAGAACAACCAATAATACCAATAGATAAACAAACAAAATAAGAACGCAGAAAAAAATTTAAACTGAAACACGACAGCTCAATTGAAGAGGACAAAGAAGGGCAACATAAAACCAAGAAAGCGCCAGAAACATGCATAAAAAAACTAAGTAGAATATTAACAGACATGGAAGAGATTAAGAAATTGCTGAGACAGATAAGGCAAGAAATTAAAGAAAATATTCTGGAAAGCAAAAAACATATAAAGGTGAAATCAATGATATGAAAAACGAACTGAAACATATAAGGCAGAAACTTAAGCATACCAAGGTAGAAAATAAAAGAGCATTAAAAATAGAAGAGCGTAAACTGATTATAAAATATGTATTTATGCGATTATAAAATGCGTTTAATATAGGATACAAGAAACGGCAAAAGAAAAAAGTAAACTCAGATTTACAATAGACGGAAAATAAACTCACAGAAATTGAAATTGCTTCAGAACAAAGCATAGTAGATTTCTAGTACGGTTTCAGAAAAGTAAGATCCACGATAGACGCTATACATACCCTAAAACAAGTGATAGAGAAAACATATGAGTATAACGGAAAACACATAATACTTTTTCTAGACTTTAAACAGGCGTTTGACAAACTAAACGAAGGAAACATGATCCAAGACGTATAACAGAGTAATATAGCAAATAAAATTATACCAATGGTAGAAAAAACAAGGTGAGATTCCCAAACAACAACAGACACCGGAAGCGAAACAACAGAAATAATAAAAATAAAAAATGTAGTAAGAAAATGATATGCGCTCTCAGCGGCACTATTTATACTATCACTAGATAATCTAATAAAAAAGCTGTCAAACACAGGAAGAACAAACAAAAATGCAATACAGATAATAGGAGATGCGGACGTACTATCCATAGTAGTAATAGATAAAAGGGCATTAAATAAATAGAAATAGAAAACGAAACCAAAATGCAAAGACTGGAAATAAATGAAAATAAAATAAAAAACATAATCGGAAGCAAGAAAAAAAGACACAAATGACAGAGTGATAGTAGATGCACACAGTTTCGAATAGATTGAAATATTCAAATATTTGGGAATACTAGTTAAGCCGAAACACAAAAATAAAAATTTACAAAACGATCATAAGACCAATAGTAGTATATGCTCCAGAGATATTTACATTATCAGCAAGAAAAAAAGAACAACTGAAAGTTAAGAGAAAGATTGTGAGGAAAATACTGCGACCAAAGAGGGAAAACGAAGACAATGCAAGGGAAATATACAGAGTGGCCCAAAAGTCTGGAAACGGCTAATTATCTCGTAAAATGCTAATCATAATTGTACAAAATTTGAGGAACACCTATTTTGGGATACGGAGATTCCACATTTGATATTAACAATGTTGCCAGATTTGCCAATTTTCTTATATTATTAGTAACTTTGATTTTTCAAATACATCACCCTGTATATTCAGTCATTATTGGAATCTCCTATTCAATACGATTTTAACCATATGTAACACTTATTATTTTGTGTAATCTGGAAGGTCATAAATACATAAAACCGAAGTCTGGCAACGCCTAAATTGTTTCAATAAATTTTTTAATACTAACTATTTTCAAATACATTAAAACGTAACAATTGATAGTTTAGTACATTTTTTAACATAGTAGTTACGTTATTAAGTGTTCAAAATGTGCTCAATTTGTGAGTTGACAACACCCTAATCGATGGTAGAAGGCGTCTACCACATTTCTCCATGATTGTCTAGAAATTATTCGAGATTCATTGATAACTCGTTGCCTTAGCTCTGCAAGACTTGCTAGTTAAGTTTTGTAAACTGAATTTTCCAAGTATCCGTAATAAAAATAATCTTTGGGATTGAAATCGGGTGAACGTGGAGGCCATTCAATTCTACCTTGTCTAACAATTTATCGTCCAGGAAATATCTCATCTAAATATCGCCGAACATTTACACCAACTATCTGACGTTAAATTTCTTTCGACAAAAAATGACCCAATTGAATCTTCTTCTTTAAGTTCCATCTTCTATCGAAGGTTGGAAATCATCATGGCTATGCGGACTCTGTTGACTGCCTCTCTAAAAAGTTCTGCACTACTGCATTCAAACCATTCCCTCAAGTTCTTAAGCCAGAATATTCTTCGTCTTCCCACATTTCGCTTTCCTCGGATTTTGCCCTGCATAATAAGTTGTAATAATGCGTATTTTTGCCCTCTCATCACATGTCCCAAGTACTCAAGTTTTCGTCTTTTAATAGTTAATATTATTTCCGCCTCATTTCCTATCCTTCTAGTTACTTCCATGTTTGACATTCTTTGAGTCCATGATATTCGTAGGATTCTTCTGTAACACCAAAATTCAAAGGCGGCCAACTTATTCAGATGAACTTGTTTTAGTGTCCAAGCTTCCAGACCATAAAGAAGAGTAGAGAACACGTAACATCGAAGCATTCTTAGGCGTAGTTCTAACCTTATATCCCGACAACAAAGAAACTTTTTAAGTTTAATAAATGATGTACGTGCTATTTCAATACGTGTTCTAATTTCTTTGGTTTGGTCTACATCTGATGTTATCCATGTTCCTAAGTATTTATAGTTATTAAC